CACACACACACACACACACACACACACACACACACACACACACACACTAAGTAACAGCTCTGCAAACTGGGATGCCTACCCAGAGGGGCTATTCTGTGGGAGCCACACACAGTACAGTAGTTTCTGCTCAGTTTTCCTTCCTCACATAATGAATCAATAAACTCTTCATCATAAAGGAATGCATCAACGTGAACTGTGGGTTCCGGCTGCTGTTGTATCTGGAGAAACACATCAAAGGAAACAGAGTACAAAGAAGCTTCTTTTTTATTGCTAAATAAGGCAAAACAGCAGTGGCTGTCACGCTAAATTCTGAGAACAAGGCATAGAAGGACAGTGTTGCTGATTCAATTCTGCTCCTCCTCCTTTTTTTTTTTTTTTTTTTTTTTTACTGCGACACTGCTAACTTTCTCTTTAATCTAGAAGGATAAAAAATATGGCTGAGGTCTAACTTTGAGTCTTACATGTCAATTAATATCAAAATACTTGGCAAGACATCTTTGTTTAGAGAGCCAAGTTTTCAAATTGCTAAGATATTATTAAAACTTCAAGTTTATATGTGTGGGCATGGTAGGTACCATTTGTAACAGCAGCATTTGGAAGACTGAAGTAGGAGTGCCTGAATTTGAGGCCAGGCTGGATTACAGACAGTATCAAAAAACAAAACAGCCCGGCATGTGATACACACCTTGATTCCAGTTCCTGGGAGGCACAGGCAGACAGTTCTCTGAGTTTAAAAGCAGCAAGTTCTAGGCCAGTCAAGGCTACAGTGAAACTTTCTCAAAAAGAAGTAAGTTGGATGGTGGCCTGGCTGTCCCGGAACTCACTCTGTAGACTAGGCTGGACTGAACTCAGAGATCCGCCTGCCCCTGCCTCCTGAGTGCTGGGATTAAAGGTGTGCTCCACCGCTGCCACTTTACTTTGCTCTCCTGAGATTCTCTCTGAAGGACCAAGTATTTTCTAGGAACTGTTAAATGTTCACACTATTCATAAACTATTACAACGTTCTGGATTTAAGGCCAGATGTGGTGAAACACAGTTGTAACCCTAGCACTTGGGAGCTGAGACCTCAATTTTGAGGCCAGCCAGTACTACAGACCTAAGCAATAAAACCTGAACAACCCACCAAATAATCAAACAACACTCTCCAATGATCCCTCTTAAACAGCCCCCCTACCCCCCAAAGGCAACAGGATTTAATTCTTCAGCTCAGGTGTTTATGGATGGAAAAGTCCAGACTATTAACACTTGATTTTTTTTTTAAATAATAGGCTGATAAACAGGATTCTCTATAAAGTATTTGTTGAGTACATAGTACTGGGGAATCCAAAGATTAAAGCCTCAAAAGAAAGGGGTACACAACTGAACTAAGTGAAAAATTACTTAAATCTGAATTTACAACTAACGAAACTAGAAAGTATGGGTTAGAGAAGATTTCTTGAGTGAGACAAAAAGAATTAATTTGGTTCAACATATTTACCTTTTGAAGGGCTACATGTTCCGAGCAAAGCACAGCTTCTAGCGGCAAACAGTTCCGAAGATCATCGGCTATGTTCTTCAACATAACGTCATTATTGTCATGAGTGAATCTGTCAAAATCCCCTGAAAAAAAGGAAAAAGAAATAGCTCCTATTCTTGCAGTCACACCTAGAATAAATGATTACAGATGATGCGTTTCCCATCAGAGAAGCCTTCTATACATGGACATGTCAGCTCTAATCCAAGTTCCATTTAAAATGGTGAATTTTTCAGGCTGTGGAAATGGCTTGGTGAGTAAAAATGCTTCTTAAAAAAGCATGATGACCTCAGTTCAATCCCTGGAACCCACACGGTAGGAGGGAAGAACTCTCACAAGATGTCCTCACATGTGGCTGAATATATACTTAGCAGGTACCAGCCACATTTTTGATCCTCAGCATCAAAACAAGAAGGGATGGAAAGATAAATAGGTCTAGAAACAAATCAAGGACATCTTGAAGGGCATGTTACCCCATGTTCTACATTTCTGCATCCCCTTTGAACATTTTTTGGAAACACTTATTTTAGTGCAGTGGTCAGAGGATAGTTTTCAGGAGCTGGTTCTTCTTACTCTATGTGGATTCTTGGAAGCAAACTCAGGTTGTCATGTTATCCATTGAGCCGTCCTGCTAGCCTCCGGCTTCCTTCTCTTTTTGAGACAAGGTCTCTTTCTATGTAGTCTTTGCTGGCTATGAACACACTATGTAGACCAGGCTGAGTTCAAACTCAGACAACCTTCTGTCTCTGCCTCCTGAGTGCTTAGATGAAGAGCATGAGCCCACCATGCCTGGCTCCGTTCTTCTTTTTTGTTTTATTTTGGAGACAAAGTTTCTCCTGTGTAGCCCTGGCTGTCCAGGAACTAGCTCTGTAGACCAGGCTGGCCTTGAACTCACAGAGATGCACCTGTCTCTGCCTCCCAAGTGCTGGGATTAAAGGCACATGCCATCACTGCCAGCGAGGCTCCCTTCTCACCCAGGATACTTTTGTTTAGAATGACATTTTCATACCATAAATAACTACAAGTGGAATAATGTTTCATAGCTTACAAAGTTCTTTCATATACAAGGAGTCAGTTCTCTGCTACAGCACCAAGAAGAGAAAGCAAGACATTTACAAAGTCGGACTGCAAGCCTTTCACGTTGGCTGGATCTCAGATGCTGTACAGAGACTGGAAGCAGTATGCAAGCTTTGGTCAATGCCCATAAGGAAGGTGTTCTTCCTTTCTACGGTGTCCATCTGTCCCTCTGCATGGGAACATCCTCTCTTTGTATAACTTGAACAAGCACAACTAGCACTGAAAGACTACTTGGCTCTGAGCTGATACGCAAAGGCCTTCCATTCTTTTCCTACATATCTAGTTGAATATTCTAAGTTATTGATTCATGTAAGTTCTAAGAAGCAGACTATACCTTAGAGTGAATCCAAGCAGTATTAACACACACCTCACATAATTTTAGTGTCTTAGAGGCTGGGTCCCTGTGCAACATGGGCTTTTCCCGCCATATTCAAAATTTAATTACATTTTCCCAAAGTGTTAATTAATATCTAGAATCTGCTTAGTTGCTCTTAGAGATAAAACAGTCTGTGAGAACTTGGGTGACTCAAATTTAACTTAAACCACGGCTCTTAAAAAAAAAAAAAGAAAAATCTTATTACATCAAATAAAATTATCTTGTAGCCCAGTTTCTTTGGATTTATTTACAGTCATATTAACTTCTCAAATCAAAGGATCTTGGGAGCTACACGGAGACCTCTTCCCGAGCGGCAGAGTACCATGCACAAGTCTCTGGACACCTGAAACACAGATGCTTAGGGCCGAACACGTTCAAGGAAGGATTTCTTTGTTGGTCTAAGTTGGAATCTGTCTCTCTGTAACACTGAATCAGTTTTTTTCCCCTTCACCTTGAATGCTATCGTTATCTTTAATGCTATGTATTTACTGTATTAGCATGCAAAGCATACGAGACTATGCAAGTTTTTACACCTAAGAACTGTCATTTAGATCTAAGAACCCTATACATGACACAATTTTTTTTTTTTTTTTTTCTAAAAAACATGCATTCAAAGGAAGAAGGGGGTTTCTACGGAACTGAAGACTTCTCTGTCCTGGTTTAGTTAGAGCTTGTGAAGTAGTTAGAAGTTAATCCTTTGCTCATCTGGCTTTACTCTGTTCCTTGGAATACTATCTCTAGAGACTCTGAACAGAGACGGAAGAATGGATTTTGAAGTTAGAGTACTTGAATCTGAATCCTGCACTCACCAACTTATTATTTAGGTAAGTTACTTGACTCTCTGAGCCCCAATTGACCTATCTATAAAGTGAAAATAACCATCCCACAACAAAAGACTGTTTGGGGGATTAAATGAGAACATAAATGGAAGCTTTAGAACACTGCCTTAGGGAGCTGGCAAGATGGCTTAGTGGGCAAAGGTACCTGGTGGCAAGCCCACTGACCTGAGTTTGATACACAGTTTGACTCCTACAAGTTGTATTTTGATCTCTACATACGCCCACACATTCATGCATACACACATATATAAATAATTATAATAAAAATATTGTCTTAGAATTGTAATCAGTCATAACCAAGAAGTCATAACTCAAGAAGTTTATTTGCATTTGAGGATCAGGGATGCTTATTAAGTTCATTTTCCAAAATTATGTTTTAAAAGCATTATCAGGGGCTAAAAAGATGGCTCACTAGTTAAGAGCATATACTGTTCTTGCATGGACCCGAGTTCAGTTCCCATACCCTAAACCACCCACTACTCCAGCTCCCAGCCTTGAGTGTCCACCAGTGCCCAAACTCAAATGCACACAAAGTCCTCCTTCTACATATCTGAAAATAAAATAAAATACACATTTGTAAAATAAAATAGGGGAATATGTAGAGTTTGCTGGATTAGGTTGAAGTCTCAGATCTCTGGAGAGTCACTTGTTTGCGCTTGGTCTATGATGGCCGATTACCTTTTCTCAGGGAGGTTCTAAAAGTCTCCCCCAACCCCAACTGGATACCTCAGCTCTTGTAAGGAGTATCACACAGCCCTCAGGGTAGATTACATGCCAGACTCTTTCCTGGTATAGGACTTCCTAGAAATACCCCACCCTGCTAAAGATCTTAGTCTTCAGCAGTGACTTCAATTGTACTTGGAGATTCTCTCACCCTAGGAATAATTAAGTACTGTATTCTCCTTCTTGTGATAGGACCATTCTACTGCATGGAAAATGAGTCAATGTACACTACATGTAAATCAAGTATCCCTGACCCCATTGAATCAAACATATTCACCCTCAAAATCCCTCCCACCGTCCGAGGTTTATAAACCAGATTTCAAATAAATGTGCTGGATGCATGCTGCTGGTTTTGTTACATGCTACCGTAAGCCTTCTACCATGACTCCTGAGATTGCCAGCCCTGCCCTCCAGCCTGATGGGCCTGGGTCTCAACAGGCCTGTCTTGCTTGGCTGCAAGTCCACCAGGGTTTCCACTGCCACCAGTGGTCTCATTCTAAAAGAGCCAAACTCTGAAACTCTGTGGAAAACTTTTGCACATGCCAGCCTCGTGCATGGGCCTCGCCCTAAAGCTCTCCAGCTGTTCCTGAGATCAGGGGATCTGATTTCTCTTCATCCAGAAGCCAAAATCCGGGTCCCCAGAGAATGGCTTTTTATGATCAAAATGAAAACATGCCCAATTTGGTAAGATAGATAAGTTACAGCTTCATTTATGTATTTCCCTAAATGCTCTTCTGTTCCAAGTGTTTTGTTTTTTACTCAACTGTCCTTAATTCATAATTGTTAACAGAAACTGTCAGACTTCAAAAGAATATTGGTTGGCATATAACTTTTGAAAAGACTAACTAGCAAATCATTTCCCACCTGATAATGGCTATAAAAATATCAGAAAGGCAACTGATATATTATGGAAGTGCATAAAACTGGAGATCATTTTAAAGTGTTTCTTCCACACTTCTTCATTTAATGTGCACTGCCACACTGAGCATTTTTGGAAGCCAGAAGATAACTTGTGGAGGCCTGTGCCTTCTTAGCATGTGGGTCCCAGGGACAAAACTCAGGGTGGAACTTGGCAGCAGACCCTTTAACCACTTAGTCATCTCCCTGGCTTCTGAAGTCAATTTATTATCACATGATATTTACTCTAAGAAACGAAATTTGTTGGAGCTAGTCTTGGTGGCAGACAGTTGTGACTCACAGCACTGCCTGGACCTGGAGTTTATGGCTGGCCTGAAGCAACAGTATCAAACTGTTGGGGAAACAAAATTTGTTGAAACATTATCTCCCTCAAAATTTTTTTCTTTTGAGACAGGGTCCGACTGTGTAACACTAGCTGGTCTAAAATATATAACATAGACCAGGCTGACCCTGAACTCACAGAGCTCTGCCTGTCTCTGCCTTCTGAATGCTAGGATTTAAGGAATACATCACCATGTCCAGCCTTAAAAATAGTTAAATTACATCTTACTGCTCTGTACCTGTGTGTATGTCTGTGTAAGCACTTGTGTGGTAGAAAGGCATGCACGAGCCCCGACTGCTTCCTTACTCAAGTCTTCAAACATGTTGAAGGCTTTCACGGCGCACGTTCAAATTCCCTGAATGACATACTAATATATACAAGATACATGATATATGACATACAAGATAATACTATATCTTGCTCTGACAGATACGAGCAAGAGTGGGTGGTCTTGGGTATGGTGGCACCTACCTTTAACCCCGACTTCTTCCCCCCTCCCTCTCTGCCAGTGGGAGGCGCAGGCAGGATGCTTATGGATTCTAGGACAGCCTGGAATAAAGAGCAAGTTCCTAGCTCAAAACAGCAACAAAGAATATATGTTTCTTCAAACTGCCACAGGATTGGATAGAATCATGAAGACAAACTTGGTTGTTTTAATTCCCATTAATTCAATTACTAGTTAGACCATACACCTTTCAACCTGCATGACAGCTACTTCAGAAGATACAGTAACATGCCTTTGGAAACCTTTTGGAAAAAGATTAAAGAAGTGTTAATTGACAGCCCAAGGACAGGTAAGATTTCTCAAATGGCACAGAAGTAGGCGGGAAG